CACCAGTAGGCGGTAGGTGAAGTGTCTTGCCCAAGGACACAACGACCGAGACTGTCCGAGCCGGGGCTCAAACCGGCAACCTTCCGGTTACAAGACGAACTGCCAACTCTTTGAGCCACGATCGCCCTAATAATGCCTTTATTGTTACTATACAGTTGTACAATGAGATACAGAGCATGTCCTACTAAGTGCAAACATGCTTGGGGGGGCCTGTTAGCACTGCAGCACTATATACACATGGAGAGTATTAACAGAGAAAAATATATAAAATGTACAAATATACAAAATTATAAGATGATAACTCTTAAGTGTTATTATCAACTTTAAGTGGTAGGAACAAGATTTCGCTTCTAATGTGGATAAACTCATTAAATTGTTAAAAATACTGTTTAAAATTAACACCACATTGTAAGGGAATTGTTAGCTTAAATGCACGGCTAAAAGTTGTTAGCTATGAGAATTCCTAGTAACAAACTATATTTAATTTAATGTACAAAAACTTAAAATAGCTATCTATAAATATAAACTTATTGTTTAACTTAAATATATAGATAACAGTTGCTAGCTAATACCTACACTACAGTAGAGACAAACAATTTAAGCTGTTAGCTAAACTGTGGCTGTAAAATACCTACGAAATGGAATAGCTTCAAAAAGCTAACAAATAGATAAAATAGAATTATAGATAAATAAATCATATTTAATAAATGACAAGTTGAATGCAGTTGCTAAGAGTAAATGGCAACCTCGAGCTAACATTAAACAATGTGAGAAACAGTGTTAATGAAGGAGTCTTGAGTCCAAGGCTGCAAGGGTAAGATATTTAGTTATTTTCTAAGTATAACCAACTTTGTATAAGCTTTAACAACCTAATTTTTTTTGTCTTGTGAATAAATGAATTGTCTGAGTACTACTGTTAATCTCAGCAGCTTAAAGGCACATCCATACAAATACTTACATTAGATATTAGGATTATTGGTAAAGGTCAAAAGTGTATTAATGTTCCTGTAATATTGGGCAAAGGGGAAAGCAGAGTAAACAGAGGAGGGGCAGGCTGGCAGTAATGACAGAGGTGCTAGTGAGAAGCCTGGATTACTTCAGCTGTGGAAAACACTTTCAGCATGAAAGACACGGTTATATATTCTTTCTTTCTGCCAACACACGTGTTATTTCAAAATAGACCTAGACTCTCTGAGGGCTCTGACACACGTGCATTCACTTTTCCTGCTGCTTTCAACAAAGACACCTTTCATATAACCATGGAAATCATGTGTCGTCACATCATGTGTTTACAATGAGAGAGAAACCATAATAAAAATGATTTTTTTTAAAAAAAGGTGTGAAGTGCTTACCTCATAGGCTTCGCCGGTGAACTCGCTGCCACAAAACTCACACTTGACCTTGCGCTTGGGGCAGTCGTGCTGCAGGTGGTCGGGCAAGTCGCGGCGTGTCAGCTTGACTGAGCAGCGATTGGGGCAGGGTATCACGTTGAAGGCGCAGGTGGAGAAGTGGCCCTGAGAGACACACAACAGGTCATCAGAATCACCCCACATGCTGGGTGCAGCAGTGGAGGAAGGAGGCATGTATCAGAGGGCATGGCTTCTTACCTGCAGCTGCTTCATCTGGCCAGTCCAGCGACAGCCCTCCTCGCTGTGGATGCATCGGATGGGCAGAGCCAAGATCTGCTGCTCCAGCTCTGGGTCTGGGTAGATCTAAACAGAAAAGCAGGAGGAGATTGGTGTAGCAGATCCCAGGACGTGTCCCCACTGGTTAAATGCATGTGGCTTTGACAAGTTTTTGCTACATTTTTAAGCTTTGTCATTACTTTGAGGGTAGGAAATATGGGATAAATGAGACACTGGTTAAGTGAATAATGGGAAATCATAAACCAGAATACAGACACTCAGTGGCTACACACACTGGAGATTTATATTGCAAAAAGGGTAAATGTAGCCCTCATCAGACTGCAGCACAGTGACTCGAGCCAAGTACTGCAGTGATAATGAGTAAGTCTGTTGTTTTATGGGACCTCTGAAAGAGTCAGAGAGGGGAGAAAAGAGGAAAAGATTTATTTATTCTTGGTCACAGAGCGATAGGGATGAGTCAGTTTTCTGCCCAAACACCCCAAATCCTTCCCTACAGTACGCTGTCCAGAGGATTTACGGCTCTTTCGCTGCATCCCTTGTGCTGTCACACGAAGCACAGGCAGAGCACTGATCAAACAAGAAAAGCCACTTCCTCAAAATGTCACAACAGCCCTCCGAACAAATAACGGCTCCCAGAAAGTGCCCGACTGCGCTCACGTGTCTCTGCCATCGCCAGCAAGTTAAAAATTCATTTGGAAAACGATCTGCAAGGAAACCCTCGTCGTCTCTCTCATTGTTTGCAGCAGCTTTGTTAGGAGATAGACGCCTTTTCAAGTGTTTTAAAGTACATCTCTGAAGTGAAATGACATCCACAGAAAGCGACTCCATTTACACTGAAGGAGCAGTTGAGATTTCAGTGCCATAATCACATTCTCTGAGGAGAAACAAAGAGCAGAAAAAAAGTCCTCTAAAGCACACTGAAACACTCTCTCATTGTTACAGTCTTGGAATTTGCAGGAGGACGGCAATAATGACCTTTTAATAAGTTAGTCGCAGGCAGATGGGGGGGGGGGGGGTAATCTCTTTGGAGCTCCAAGTTGGGGGTTTATTCTGTCTGCTGCAGCAATTGTTGGCCGTGCACTGCTGCTACAGCAGAAACAGTGCAATCCTTTAATGACTGCAACACTGTTGTTCTGTGGGAGCGAGGTTGTGTTTGTGCACGTTTTCGAAGGACAGTGTTCAGCGAGCGTTACAACAACCCTGACAGGGACCACCAGGATGGGGTAATTTACAGGCGACTGGGAGCCTTGGCAAATAACAGCGTCTGACAGGTGTGCCATGAGCACATCCTTCCCGTGGGGAGTCCCTGCTATTACAGGCGCCTTCATCGCTCTGAGCACAGCATGCAGACCTGCACTGCTGCCCTGCTGAGCCTGCTGCAGCTCGAGGTTAAACCCTGATAATTTCCTTCGTTTTTTAATGAGTTTTAAGGTCACAAAAATCACCTTATTCCTCCCCGCCTGACGGTATCAGCTTTCATTAAATCTGAACGATGATGAACTTCTATTGAGTGCAGTCATCTTTTTCTTTTTCCAGTGGCTTTGATTAAATGAGCTTTGTGCACACAGAACAAGATCATAAAGAGTAAAGCTAACAAACTGCATGGGAGACTTATCAACTGAAGCCTAACGCTGCACTGAAAAGGAGATGATCCTTTCCTGCCCCTTATCCTCGTCTTCCAGTCTCTCATTTTGCAGTGGGGGTGTGGGTGTGTGAGAGCCAGCCGCCGACTCTGCATACAGTTAGTCATTATCTTTTCCCCCTGAGCACAATCTGATTAACTGCATTTATTGTTCAGCTGAAATTTCTTCTGGACATAAAGAGATGTATTAAAAGAGGCGAGGGTGGGGTGGTACTAGTTTTAATAGATTTTCCACTGACTCTGACTCTCAGTTAAAACAAGGATCTGTAAACTTGCTTTCAAAAATACAGCTTTTATCACACCATTATGAAGTCAAAGCCATCATCCTAAAGCAGTTTTTCTGATAATTTGCATTTACATCCGGATTCATGACGCCATCTTTATCTAATCTTTGTACTCGTCAGACATCTGATTTGCATTCGTTCCTAGTCAGGCCAGTGTAGCCCAGTTTATTTACATCCTGAAGCAGATGAATGCAAACAAAACAAAAATGCTACAAAGCTAGCATTTTAATTATTCTAGCATCTAGTGGCATGTTGTTACATTGATCATCTCCAGTCTTATCTGTACTCTGTGTTTAGTGCTTTGGGCAAATGCTAGCGTGCTAAATTTCTCAACCACAGGGGTGATCACAGTTAATATATCTGCTTAAAATCTGGATGCTAACGTGGTAGAAATTCTGTACAAATGGTCAATTCTTTGATCTGGTGCACATCAGCTTGGTCGCACAAGCATTTTAGCACACTCACGTTACCTCACCGTGAGCTGTATCATGGCTATTATCACCTTTGGCCTTGCCAAATAGAACTCTTTGAAAACTTCCAGTGTACAGACATCGATAAACAAGGCGAAACTGAGTTTAAACGTGTTCTGTTAAGTGTTTTGTTTAACTTAGGTAATGTTGTTCAGTTTGCACATGACACAAAAGTCTGAGGTTTCAGGAACATCTTTTATGCTGTCCATGTCTCAAAGCAAGTCATTCCCCATCGGCTTTTGGCAGAGGGTATTTTTGGTCGCTCCCTTATTTCC